ATCCATGAAGTAACCGCAGCTCAAATGAGATTAACACAACAAAACTGCTTTTTGCTCTTGAAAAACATTCTGACCTGCTTGTCGCTGCAATTACATGAGTGTGTTAGGCCTCTGGTTGGTCCATTTTAGGAGCTGCGGGAGCTCCAGGACGAGAAGGCGGAGTTGCAGAAGGTTTGCAACGAGCAGGAACAAGCCCTCCAGGAAATGGGCCTGCACCTCAGCCAGTAAGAAGCCTGCCCCCCCTCCCCTGCCACCTGCGTCATGGCCACTGGGCCTGCCCCCGCTTCTCCGGAGTCACACCAGCCTGCCCACCAGGCGCCAAACCAAGTTCTGCTGTCCGGGAAGGGGAGGGCCGGGTGTTCCAGGGCGACCCCCCAGGAAGTCAGGCCTCGGAGACACAGCGCCGGTTTAACTAATGCATTAGGAAATCCCTTCTAGTGAGCCCTCCTGTTAACTAGCTGAGCCTCTAGGTCCCAAGCAAGCCAGGGGGGCGGTGGGTGGGGTGCTTGCTGGCCTGCAGTCAGACCAGGGGGGCTGCCGTGGTTTGAGGATTCCACCCGCTGTGGCATTAAGCACAACCACCGCCCCCCTCTCTGGATAGTCACGTCTACCAGCATCCGTCTGTCTGTCTGTCCTGCTGGGTACTGCTCTCTCTCCTTTGACCTGACAGCCCTCCCCCCGGGGTCCCCGTCCTGCCAGGTTGCTCTGGCCCATCCGATAGGTCACACTGCAGACTGTAGGATTTGTTCATTTGTGAGATGACTGTGTTTTCAAAGCCGCTGGGGAGCTTTATTCTCCTTAGGAGTCAGGACTCCTGGTTGCAGAGAGCCAGAAACCCAGTTCAGACTGTCTCAAGCCAAAAAAGCCATCAGGAATCAGTGTCTCCCTCCTAGTCTGCCGTCCTTCTGCTCCCTCACCGGTGGCTCTGGCCCCCACCAGGTCCTGTTCTGGAGCCTTCCCCAAGCACAGTGACCAGAGAGATGGGGGCCCCGTGGGAGCCTGTGACCAGAGGTCCAGACATGAGGACCGACAGAGAAGCAGCTAGAAACACACCGTAGTAGCACGTGCATTAGGCTGCGCTGGGGTTGTCGTGTCAAGGACGTGTGACGTGGGCAGGGATCCCCAAGGAACATCCTTGGTGCTTCCTCCCTCCCTCCCTCTTCCCTCCATCCTGCAAGCTGACACCAGGTGACAGAGGACAGGGCTCTCCTCAGAGCCTCCACCAGCTAGACACAGCTGCCCGGTTTCTCTCTCTGGGCAACGTCCGGATCCTTCCCAAGTTGTGTTTCCCAGGGACGTGCTTGCACGTTCGGGCTGCCGTCCTGACCTGGGGTCCCCTGGTTACCCCCCGCCGCCTGGGCAGCTTCTGGTCCTGTCAGACTGCAGGCCTCTCTCTGATCTGCTCGGGCGGGACTGAAGGCCCCGATGCTCAGTTTCCCAGTCCTCCCCTGGAAGTCTCGTCTGTGTCTCAGAGCCCTGCCACTTTGACCCTTCTGTTGATCCAGTGACAGTTTAGGCTAATGTCAGCTTTTCAGAAAAGGCTCAGGACCTCCCTGCCCCCCCCCCCAGCCTGCAATTACAGATACACTGTTTCATTTTATCTGGTTGAATTCTGCCAGTGTAGACCACATTCAGGCCTGTCTTCTATGTGGATGACTAAGGAATTGTTCTTCCCCTAACAAGGGTGGAGCAAGTGAACCTGTCCTCGGAGCAGGACTGTTCTAGAAGGAGCAGGCAGCAGGAAAGGGGCCGGAGGAGCCGTGCAGATTTGGGTGCCTACTGTGGGGGGGGGCCCGCACCCCCATTCAGGCACATGTCCCATGCAGGAATGGTTGCCCGGAGAAGCCAGGAACCTGACTTCTAGGAAATTATTCCCAGTTCTTGATTTTATTTATTTGACAGAGAGGGAACACAAGCAGGGGGAGCAGCGGAGGGAGCAGCAGGCCTCCCACTGAGCAGGGAGCCCGATGCGGGGCTCCGGGGCTCGATCCCAGGACCCCGGGATCACGACCCGAGCCGAAGGCAGACGCTTGACGACTGAGCCACCCAGGCGCCCTCCCAATTTTTAAATGGTTGCAACTACTTCAAAGTCTTTTTAAACCTTGCAGGCTCCACAGTCTGTTTTGGGACCACATTCGTTCCACAGGCTCCTAGAGCGCGGCAGACGTGAGCCAACATGATGAGGTGACTCTGGGATGATAAAAGGCAGAGAGCGTGTTCTGGAACAACTCCTGTATGGGGCTGCTCTCTCCTAAGCCATCACCCTCCTGAAGCCAGTCAGACAGTAGCTGTGGGCTTGCTGAGTTTGAGAGCCTCACACGGCTATAAATCATCTTTATTTTTTTTAAGATCAAAGCTGAAGATGGAAGACATCAAAGAAGTAAACAAGGCGCTGAAGGTACTGGATTGTTAACGTTATTAGTCTCAGAATCACTGCCCCCGGCTTAGTCAGCTCACGCTCCTGCCCTGGGCGCTCAGGTTCTCCCGAGTCAGGTGAGGGATGTGTCCCAGAGGCCTGTGACCTGGGGACATGTGACACTGGCAGGCGCTGGGGCCCAGCCCACAACCTCCGTCCTGATTCCGGCCCCTCAGCTGGACGTTCAAGAGCAGGCCTAGATCACAGGAGCCCAAATGAAGGGAGGGAAAAGTGGCAGAAAGAGATCCAGGGATTTATTTATTTATTTATTTATTTATTTATTTTTAAAGATTTTATTTATTTATTTGACAGAGAGAGACACAGCGAGAGAGGGAATACAAGCAGGGGGAGTGGGAGAGGGAGAAGCAGGCTCCCCGCAGAGCAGGGAGCCCGATGTGGGACTCGATCCCAGGACCCTGGGATCATGACCTGAGCCAAAGGCAGTCGCTCAACCGACTGAGCCACCCAGGCGCCCCCAGGGATTTTTTTAAATAGGGAGCAAGTGAGGGGCCCGAGGCCACCCCGAGCCAGGCCGCGTCTCTGGAGCATCTCGGGGAGGGCCAAAGGATGCCCGCCACCTAGGGCGGGCGGGGACGCGTGGGACCAGGTGACCCGGTCCGGGCGCCAGGCTGGCCAGCTGGGCCGGGGAGAGGGGGGCAGTTGAGAGAGGAAGGGACGGCCCAGCTGAGAGCGGCAAGTCCGCCCTCCACCAGATCAGAGACCCTGGCGCCCGGCAGGTCGGGGTGGCCGACTGTCCCAGCCGTTGCAGCAGCCGGACGTGAACTTGGCGGCACTGGCTTCCCTCCCTTGTACCTGGAAAGCTCCTTGAAGGGCACCCCTGCCCTGCCCAGATGTGCCGGCCAGCGACGGCCAGCAGCACCACACAGACGAGCTGTCGGGCGTCGCGCTGCAGCTCCTGAGGTGGCTCTGTCGCCGCCAGATGCAAAGGAGCCGGAACAGCTCCTCAGGCCTTTGGCCCCGTTGAGCGCTCAGTCCCTCTGGCTGCGTAAATGGCACATCCTCGTTTTCCTTTAGAAAGATCTCCAGAAAGGCAGCTTTAAAGCCTCAGATCCCGCCTCTCCGTATTGTGCTGCGGGTTGGGGCCTTAGCCCTTGGACAGGGACCTCCCAGCCCCCTCCCCCCAGCCCGGTGCGTTGCCTTCTGTCCCTCAGCAGGGCCCGCCGTGGCAGGGCTGGCCCCTCTCTGTCTGGAGCAGGTCTCCGCCAGGGTCGGTTTGCAAGCGCTAGATCCAGGCTCAGGGTACCTCGGCCCAAGGGCATTTATTGACAGGGGGCGGGTGAGTCTGGGTGACAGGAAGCCGGGGAACCTGGCTGGAGGCCAGGGGTGACCTGCAGGGGCCGGGAAGCCCGAGCCAGAGGGTGGGTGGTCGGCAGCTCTGGAGCTCCGGCCGTGGCCGCGTCTGGGGGGAGGCGGTCCCTGGAAAGGAGACCCTCAAAAGGCCCTGATGTTGGGCAGTCGGAACACAGCTACAGGTCGGTTAGGAGCCCGGCAGCAAAGTGGGATTGTTGTGGTCTTGCCCCCTCAGGGCCATACGTGGCTGAAGGATGATGAAGCGACGCACTGTAAGCAGTGTGAGAAGGAGTTCTCCATCTCCCGGAGGAAGGTACGTGGGGTGGCCCTCCAGCAGCTCCCACAGGGGCTCCCCTTCGGCCCATTCCCGTGGGACCCGGGCCATCGCATGCGCCCGCACTCGCTGCTGTGCTGACCCCCGCAGACGGCCTCCCGGCTTGTCCCCACCCGTCCTTTCAAGGATTGGCAGATTTCTTTGGGACTTGGGGTGCTCGCGTACAGAACACTAGGTGAGTGTGTCAGTCGAAGTTCATTGTCAGCAACAGGACCAAAATCTGGCTAAATTAGGCGGAAACCATCTCTAGAGAACCCATGGACAGACCGGCATCCACAGCCCCAGAAGCTGAGCGGCGGTCTGGGCAGGGCCCGAGCCCCGGGGACTCTGCCTTCCACTTCCAGGACTGGGGTCCCCGCACCCAGCCTTTGGTCCGGGGCTCATGGGGCTTTGGTGGAGCAGTGGGGCAGGACACGGGTCCCTAGCAAGACTGGAAGCCTGTCCAGCCCACAGACCGCCCCCCGCCCCCGAACGGACCCCTGCTGCTGGGGGGGGCGGAAGGCGTCCGGCGCGCTGGCGGAGGACCCCTGCCGGGGGGGGCGGAGGCGCACCCGCCCTGACCGCCCCCTCGTGCCCCCAGCACCACTGCCGCCACTGCGGCCACATCTTCTGCAGCACGTGCTCCAGCAGCGAGCTGGCCCTGCCCTCGTACCCCAGGCCCGTGCGCGTGTGTGACAGCTGCCACACCCTGCTGCTGCAGCGCTGCTCGTCGTCCGGCCACTGACCGCCCAGCCTGCCTTCCGCCTCGGCTGCGCCACCGGCTGGGGCTCCAACGGAGCCTCGTCTCTTTGCTCCTGTCCCCTTCCCGCGCTCACAAAACCAAGCGGCCCTACTGCGGTTGTACTATTGTCGCGAGCACCCCGCTCCCGTCCCCCCACACCATGTCTTCCCTGCGTCAGAGTCGAGAGATGGGCCGTGCCCCACCCTTGTGAATATGTCTCTAGACCTGCAATAAAAGCCTTTATTTTTCACGCTGGTGCACAAACTGCCGGCATCACAGGGACGGCCTCGGGGGCAGGCCTCAGAGCCACCCCCGTGTCGAGTCTGGACCAGGACTACCGACCTGGGGGCGGGGGGGGGAGGCCCAGGGCGCAGGCTGGCCCTGCCCGGGGAGCCAAGGACAGGACGGGCATGGAGGAAGTGACCTTACCCCTGTCACCAGAGCTCAGGTGTTCCCTAGGCCCCGGAGTTGACACAGACGACAGCTTGATCTAGTGCGCTCCGAAGGACACACCTGTGGGAAGCGCCTGCCGGGCCACCAGTTCTTACTTTCCCAAGCAGGGCCAGGACGGGTGCTGTTTGTCGGCTATGAAAATGGGCTCCGCGCATGCTCACCCCCACCCGACTGGTCCGGGCTCTCGAATACCCAGGTGAAGGAACTGTCCAGACTAGCCCGTCCACCCAAGGAGCCCTTGGTGGACTCCCCTTGCTCACTGCCCAGTCCCCTGCCCCTCGTCCCCTGGCCCTTTCCTTCGTGGGTTCTGACCCCGCATCTGCCGCGCCCTTAGATCTGTCCTTTCCCAACAGGAACCTGGGCGGCTCAGCGAGGTTAGGTCCCAGGATCTGCGGGCCCAGCTCCAAAGCCATGTTCCTTCCAGCAAGTACATGGCAGCGAGAGCGGCTCCCAGGAGGCCGCCTCCCCTTCTGTCACTTCCTCTGAGCAGCTTTTTAATCTCTGGGCCCAGCTTTTCCAAAGATGCTTACGTGCTGCCACGCAGCCCGCAACTGGTCTGGCATTAGAGATCTGTACCTTGTTTTCAGTGCACCCAATTTGGACTCCAGCTTGCTGGGGAGCCTGAAGCAGGTCACTTCACCTCTGGGCCTTAGCGCTCATCTGCACACACACAAAAGGAAGCAGAATACCTGATCCTAGCCCGTTCTGACAGCTCCCACCACCGCGCGGCCCTCAGTGCTCTTCCCGTATCGTAACGGATTCTTTTCCCCACCTCCCTTCTCCACCCACAAGCAACAAATGTTCGACAGGCATTATTCACACAGGATCGCTGTGCCAGTTAGCAAGTGTTTAGCTTGCTAACTGTCTCACGACAGAACTTTTCTCCTCACGCATCAGACATGCCCCTGAACCCGTGGAACCCTTAGGCTGCGGTCTGGCAGCCCTCCTGACCTGGGCGACAGGGGCCACAGATGGCCTAGGGCAGCACTTCTCAAGCTGACGCGCCCAGGCCTGTGGTTACCCAGGGACACAGCAGGGGCCCACGTGAGAACGCCCACTCCCAACAGAATCTGAGGTTCTGGTCCTGGCTAACAAGTGCCCACGTGGTTCTCATGCAGGTTCCAAAGCACCAGAATGGCCCAGGCCTCACTTTGTAAAAGCCGAACGGTTCTGTACTCACTTAGCCTTCCTCCCCACACATCTAGTTATCGTCTCGTCTCTTCTTCCCACGGGCCTTTTCTCAACACAGATGTTCCCTACGTAGAACAAGGTAGCTGAAGGACTCAGGGAAGGAACCGTCCCAGGGCCTTCTCAACACGGGTCGGTTCCACAGAGTGACTCTGCTGAGACCCCGGGGGGCAGTGCTAGGTCTAGAACACAGCTGGAGACCCAATGCTCAGAACCTCCTCCCCCGAAAACGATTTTCTCTAAACCAGAAGAGCAGCTGGAGGGTACATGCCAAGTCTACCACTTCCGTACGCCAGCCTGACTGCACACGTAGGACAGCACCAGCCCGCAGGGGTGCACCCAGTCCTGACGGGAGGGCATGGAGCAGGGTAGGGCCTGCAGGGCCTTTCATGCACATTTGTGCAATGTTGCCATCTACAGACTCTTAGAAACGGGATTCCAAGCAAACCTCATCCGATATCAGAGTCTTCAGCACGGTCACAGCGAGTGAAAATGGCTTCAGATCAGATCTACTGAAGGGACTTTGGGGATGATCCCTTTAAGAAGTACTTAATGCCAGCTACTCCAGTTGTCAGAGTTCTACCAAAACAGGTGGATTCCAATTACAGAATTAAACTAGTCCTTTTTGCTCGGAAATGCAATTTGGTATTCTACCTCCGAAACTGTAAGGAATGAATTCTGCCCCTAAGTGGACCTGATCTTTAGGAATCAAAGACCGAAAGACTCCCTCTGAAAGCCATTTGTAAGCTAGCTCCTTCTACAAGCCCCCCTCCCCCATGCCCCATGGAAGCAAAACTTCAGGGAAGCCACCACAGTGGGAGGGGCAGCTCCTGGTGGGTCCCCCCTTGCCTCCAGCACTGCCTTCTCAGCCATGCCTGCCGCAGGCCGCTGGAGACATGCAGAACATGCAGTCAGAGTACTGCCACCTCTCCCTGGGTTTTGTGCAAGCGCTTAGCAAGGGCAGTTGGGGTTAAGTCCTGTGCAGCCACGCCAAACACGCAGCCCTTCCACAAGGGCCCCCAAAAGCTCCGTTTACCTTCAGTTGCACCGGAGGGAAGGAAGCTGCCGAGCCTCTCTGCCACAGCCAGAGACGTGGGCCACTGTCACCTACGCCCCAGGCAGGAAGAGAGCACCAAGAAACAGTCCACATGACACTGAAGCACAGACAAGACAAAGTGCAGTTTTTAAAAGGAAGATTTATTTGACAAGTTTCACTTAGCGCAATACACCTAAAAGGAAATCACGATACAAGGAAAGGTTTAAATCAAGGCCTCAGAATTTCATACAAACACCAAGACCAAAATCCTAACGTATGGTGTTGCGTCTCAAAGTCCCCCATTAACTTAAAAAAAAAAAAAAAAAGCTTCAACTTACGTGCCTTAGAGGTTATTAAATGAAACTAGAATTAACAAACATGCCAAATGTGTTCACTTTTAATTGTAGACACAGCTCCTATATTGAGTTTTACAAAAAAGCATGTCTTTCAACATGCATCCCAACAGTGTTCAATGTAATGTGGTAGAAGAGCAACATTTAACATAATTCAACTGCTTTAACCTAAATACACTTGCTGCTTAAGTACATCCTACAATAGAACTAGAGAAAAGCTGAAAATTGTTTAACAGTTATAGTTTACTCCGTTGTTACATCCTAGATGAATGTTTGTGTTCAAAAATACTGAACCTTAAGTCTTTAAAACAATCCTGATTTCCACTTAGAGTAAGCATCAATCACAAGCTTGTATTGCAAAACTGTTAAACTTTTTTAAAAAAACGTTGACCAAGAGTCAGTGATCAGGATCAGTTACATTCCCCATCCACCACTCATACTGGACATGCTAGACATCCCTCCCATTCCGTTCACGCCCAGAGATGCTCGGCTTCCACTACTGTAGTAGCTGCTGTTCACTGCGCCTTGGCTGCCTGCAGAGAGAGCAATGTGACAAGTCAGCAGAATCATCAGATCATCAGTCAAAACAGAGCATTCCAAGAAAAAGTTTAAAAAGTATACGAGTACAAATGGCTGCTGTCCAAGTGGCGAGAAGCATGTTTGGGAAAGGGGACTCCCGACTCCAAACAAGTCTCAATTAACCCCTTTTCTCTGCAGTACCAACTTGCCAGACTCTTGTGCTACCATTTAATCGGATGCTTCAGGATCAACATAGAAAATTAAGTTTAAAGGAAAACTAGTGTTTTTCAAAAATTGCAAAAATTACTTCATGTTGTTTTTAAAGCTAAGCAAAGCATTTTAAAAAAAAATTTACCATAAAACATTCACAATGTGTCCATCGAATGGCATGTATGAATAGGGAGGACGGGGGCAGTCTCTTGCTTTTCCTATTCATGGTGGGCAAGAAGTGAGATGACGAAAGTTGGGACTTAAGGCAACTCACTGTGCCCAAAATGGCAGCCTCCATGGAGTTAAGTCAGAGCCATTGACTGCTATAGAAAGTGTTATTACAACATATCAGTATTTGCTATTGGGAATTTAAATTATATTTTTTGAGAAAATATTTACCTATGCAATGTTTGATTGAAAATCACTGGAGTTTTCCTGTAAAACTTGGTCTGCAAAAGGATTTTGTAGGGTAAGACTATAATACCAAAATCACCATTCTTTAGACCAATTGAAAAAAAATAAAAATAAAAACAATCCTAGGATAAAACTGACTAGTAAATACGGTCCTAAACCCAACCACCATTCTACTATTTAAATTCTCCCTCCATCTAAAATGGATTTAATGCTAACCAAAAGACAGAAAAAAAAAAAAATCAACAGTTTGTTTAATAAATGGAGGCAGATGTTTTCTGGCTCGACATTAATCCAAGTTGCAATGACTAGTTTTAATTTATAGAACGCTTCCCCCTCCCAATGATTGGTTCCAAAAATTAAGCTATTAATAATAGAACAAGTTACGTTTGGATCAAAAGCAAACATTTATTAACCCACTTTTACCAAAAAGGAGCCTGCATATTCCCCCATCTAAAGAAATCTGCCTAAAACTTATTTCAAGTATGTAAAAAAGCACACTTACCATATCCACTCATGCTGCTCTGGCCACCATAGCCGCCTCCATAACCACCACTCAGCTGCTGACTGGCTGGGCCGCCATAACTGGACTGGTTTGCTGTTAAGTTAAGAGAACATTAGGACCTTGTTCCGCATGTAATGTGGTACCTGGTGGTACCGGGCTTGTAATTCTAAATCTATCATTTTCCAGTCTTGATCTCGTATCTCTATAACCCTCTGCCTCCTTCTGCCTATCGCCTATGACCAAACTACCTTTCTATCCATCATATGAACTAGACAAACATTTATAAACCAGAAGGCCAACAGTATGCACATCAGCAGGACTAAATCCACATGATTCCATAAGTAGAGGCATTCTGAGAAGACCTTAGGATATTGCTTAACTGGGGGATTTAGTGGGGTTTTCCCCCAATAATTTGATACAGTAAGGTTATGTCATACACAGGTTATCACTGAACACCTAATTATGCCCAACTAACCATGCCCAAAACTTTACTGACCTTGTGCTTTTAACTAGGTATTAATTTTAGACTTCTACTTCATACTTAAGACAATTCAACTAGTTTCTGCAGTCCCCTCCCCCAAAACTACTAAAAACTAGTTATCTAAACAATTTTATTTAACTCACAATGATTTAAATAAGCCAGACACAAAATTCAAATCACAATCTCTTTGCCTAACTTAATTATGCTAAACTCCTTAAAACATAACTTAACATATAATCGACTTATATAGGTATAAATGTTTTGGTTTTTAAAAAAACTAACGATATTTACACAAGCCCATGCCTCCCATCATTTGGCTACCATAAGCACCACCGCTTGCTCCTGCTGTAGAATTCAAGAAGAGTTCTACATATCTGTGTTCTGAAATGAGAGAAAAGGCATACAAGGTTAGCTTAAAAAAAAGACACTAAAGTGATATTTACACAAACCCATGCCTCCTAGCATTTGGCTACCGTAAGCACCACCGCTTGCTCCTGCTGTAGAATTCAAGAAGAGTTCTACATATCTGTGTTCTGAAATGAGAAAAAAAAAAGTTTGAAAGTGTTTGTTGGTAAAAGAAAAAAGATAAGCACTTTACGTTCTTAAACAAGTAGATCTGTGAACTTCAAATACTCTTGGTAAAAAAAATTCTAGCTGCTTACTCTGGTTTCAACCACCAGCCTTTTGATTTAAACGTTCATCGAAATTGTTCTAAGTTTGTCAATTAAGGATATACTTCAAGTCCACGTTACCACAAACCCCTTTTCAATCACACTAATTTTTAAAACCCACACGCTTTTTAAACACACACCACAGAACTAACCCATTATGGGAGAACACATTTCTCATGCATCCGTACTATTTCTCTATCACAAACACTGGTCATTCAACCATCTGTTACAGAGACCCCAAGATACTTAAAACCACACTTACGCATATTTGCTTTGTCTTTTGACATAGCTGCCACAGCATCTTCGTGAGTTGCAAACTCGACATCCGCTTCACCAGTTACTCTGCCATCAGGACCAATTTCAATATGTACTCTCACAGGATTGAGCGGTGAAAAAAACTAAATACAAGGTATTTCAGAGAACGAAGTCAAAAATCCACCGTTACCCAAAAAAAGCACAATTTAAACCTGTTTCACCTAATTAGAATAAAAACCAAGTTTTTACTGCTATCCTGAACCAGACACCTCGTAAATTTATCCGGCACTTACGTTATAAATGTCATTCTCAGTAGCTCTGTAAGGCAATCCCCGCATGTGTACACAATGTCCTGTTGTGCTCTGGAAAGTAGAGCCACCATCCCCGTATCTGTGGTCAGACATTCCTGAAAAACAGTAATTGAGGTCTAGATTTACAAGAGTGTGAGTATCCTTCAGCTGAGAAACTCAATTCTTACCTTACCTCTTCCAAATCTATCCGACCCAAATCCATAGCCATCATTATAGCCGTTATAATCATCATAGCCTCCGTAACCTGGAAGACAGAAGGACAATCAGCCAAATGAACACAGTTAGAGGAGGAACAGACCTCACGACGCCTGCACGGCCTCACCTACCTCCACCATAAGCACCACGCCTCATCCGTTCAAAGCCAGCCCCCCTGCCAATGCTGTTGTACCCTCTGCCAGCTCCAGGCCTGTCATAGGGACCTGGCCGCTGCATGGCCATAAGCTTTCGTGGTGGATCATAGTGAGTTCTAACTTCAGCGCGACTGCTCTTAAAGATTTCGATATACCTAAAGCATTGTTCATGAGGGAAGGGGGTGGGGAGGGGAGAGAAAACATTAGTCCATTTCATACAGGTACTTAGTTACACAAGAAAACAATGTAGTCATAGCCATGAAACTGACTAATATTTAAAGCCAGATTTCTTATATTTGCATAGGCAATGACCAGAAATTCACTCAATTGTAAGATTTAATGTAAAATTTATAGAGTAAAAGTCACTCCTCTGAGGCAGAGAGCCCAACCTTAGGGGTAAAGAGGAGTACTATAAATGTCTCAGGAGGGAAAGAATTCCGCTCAACTTTCAACATTTCAGGTCTTAAATCGTTGGCAGCATGTATAGCAAGTGGGCTAAAAAGCCAGCCTCCACCAACAGTCTAGCCCACACTACACATTTCCTTTCGCCAATAATACCCCAGGCCTATGCTTTTAGTAGGAATCAGCATAGGTAAGCGCATGCTTCAATGAAAAATAGTCACAAGCAAAGAGAATAAAACCTTTTGTGACAATTTCTTGAAAGCTATGCTTATTAATACATATGCAGAATATTTATACAGCAAGAAAAAGTTTGTTGCATTTCAACTTTAAAAACAAGATCAGAAAGTATCACATTTTCTTATGGTAATATTAATTTACTAGGTGGGTGTTATTACAGCTAAAGCCAGGTTTGCATTAACATTTTTTAAAGCCATAGTCTCTCAACTCTAGTGATTAGAATTAGGAATCTTACAATATTGTCAGGGAGATCAAATTAACTGGGGACAATTTTAAAACCTAAACTTTCATCTCAATGCATTATGGGACTTTTAACACAGGAAATTTGAAAATTGTGGCAAAACATCAATCAATTGGGACTAGAAAATAGATTTCTTCCTTCTAAGCAGAGAGAATATGGATTTAATTGTTTACCATAAGAAAAGTGACAAATCCAACCAACCATCCATCCCCACCTGTGCCCTATTCTTTCCTTGTGTTTCTTTAGAGCCTTTTCAGCTATTTCCTGTGAAGCAAACTGCACGAAGGCCTCCCCCGTACTCCTCCCCTGGAAGTCCACCGGCAATGTTATCCCATTTGGCACGATTTCCAACCCTTCAACCCAAGGACAAATAACCCCAGTAGGGGGGCAATATTAACATCACAAGCCCAAAAATGATTCTTCTTATAGCTTTAAATAAACCAGAATTTTAACTTTAGGTGAACGGTATGCTTTCAACAAGTAACTCTTTACATATGCATTGTAATAATATGAAGTTCCATTATTACAAAGTATAACTCAATTCTTAACACACCCCATGGCATAGTATGTAAAAGAAAAAAAACAAAAAACAAAATAAAAACAAAAAAAACAAAAAACAAAAAACACTTGAACACAGGATGCATTAAGAATTCAACAATTAACACTCTAATCTATGCAAATTAATGTTGAGAATTACAAAAGAATTTAATAAAGTTTCAAGCATTAAATACAACAGTTACTAAACTTAAAACACACCTTTTACCTCATTTTATATTTCAATGTTTTAAGTTAGTGGAACTTCAATTTTTTTTAAAAATTACACATTTAAACATTTTATATACAAATTGAAACATTGCTTAAGTCATATAATTGACAAACATACAATCTAAACTTTTCAACAAACAACTGATCTACACAGCACAATCATGCACTCTTATGCTCTAACAGTAGTATGATTCACTTCTGGAAATTCCGTCTATGAAAAATCCTTTCCGTGGATACATTCCCAAGCTTACAAAAAGGGCTTAAAGCACTTTCCTAGAAGATATGAAATTATGTTCATATTTAACGTTGACAGATAGCATTCAATTCTCACCAATTTAGACAAAAACAATCAAAACAGACTTGATTTCAAAAATTCTGGCAAAATATTAGGACCTGATAACATATCTAAGTCAAAATTTTAATACATACTACACTGAACCATGAAAGGATTTCTTGTTCTTAATTCCACTTTATTACATCATGAATATTAAAATAGTTACTTAAAGTATGTTATCTAACATTCTGCTAAACATGCAATTTTATCAGCTCTTCAGCATAAAAACATTCAAATACTTTAGGCCCAGAACAATTTCAAAACACTTTCTGTATTTCAGATACTGAGACTACATTCAAACTACTCCTACATTAGACCGACTTTTAGTAAGTTTATATAATTCCCTGGCTAAACGAACCATAAAAGTTGTTGTGGGTTTTTTCCCCCCCATGAAGAGAATTAGACCATTAGAGACATTTCTGGGCCCATGACCCAACGTGTCTTAAGACATAGGCGCTTGCCATAAATTACAACAACCTAACTGATACTAATCTAACGTTAAGGAATCTTACCTTTACTTGGTACTTTGCTGAACAGCATTGTGAGGGAAGTAGTTAAGCTGTCGAGGACAATCCTCAAAGATCTACTCTAAACTACAACACTAAATATAGGCAAACTTAGCATTTTGGAAGTACTTAATTTCCACCTTTAAGATGGGCTTAAATTATTTGAAGGTCTCCAGGAAGAAGAAAACATTTAATTCATCTGCACATACTCACACCTGTTTAAGTATCTAAGCTACTGGACTTTAAGGTCTATTAAATCACATGTTGCCAGAAGCTTGCCAGAACTCACTGCTCAGCATCAAACACAACTACATACCTGAGAAGAACTGAACAATTTCTTCCTTGCTACATCCAAAGGGGAGTCCTCTAAGCCGTACAAAGCCATCATTGGCCGTGTCAGGACTATTTGGACCAGTATGCTTCAACACCCAATCCATTTCAACGTTGTTTGACTTGAATACTGAAAGAGGTGCTTAGAATTAGTCAATTTTGGAAAGTTAGAGAACAAAGTTCAGACTTCCTAGGTCTTTAGATAATCTAGGAAGAGCTGCCATAAACTCCCTTAGATGACCATTTCCATGCGGTCAAATACCTAAAATTCAGAAGGGGTAAGATAGAGCTCTATGTGTTTAATATTTTATTTACTGTTACTAGGGCAACATAAATCAAACCTTCAACATATCTGTGTCCCATAGTTTCTCTGTCTTTTTTCAGGGCCAATTTGACTTCATCTTCTGATTCAAGTTCAACAAAAGCCTCGCCACTCGGTCTGCCTTCTCTGGTGTAGATGAAACGAATACCTTGAGCCCCATTTTGAATTTTGCAGTCTGGAAAGAAAACAACCGTTAATACAGAATTTAAAACTAAAAAACCACCTCTGGGTGATACAAATGAAATGCCTATTTATTGCCCTGCTACAAAGCAGAGCTTCTACAAAGCTTAGAATGACCCATAGTACCAATTCCCAGGGCCACTTTCCAGTACTTCAGCACTTATCTTCCCCCAAACTTTCTTATTCTCTGGACACCTTCCCATTGCATCAAGAAAATCCAATAGTCAAAGCAATTTCTTAAAGTTATCTCCAAGTCCTCTCCATTGAACATCCTTTGTAACCTCTCATAAACTAAGTCTGGACTCTGATTTTATGCCATTTTCTGAGTCTGGTTTCAAGTTTCGGTCTGGGGCACTTGATGGTTTTACCTTACTGGCAGCAACATACAATTTCTCCTGCGAATCCAAATTGCAGGGCCAATACTCACCTAAAAGGGGATCAATGTTAGCAAGCTAAAATGCTCCAAGTTGCACAGCTGAAGCCAAACCCAGTCTTGCTCACTGCAAGGTGGCTTCCAGTGTACTTGGTTCTCGTTTTACAGGTCGTTTTCCGTTACCAATGCTAAATTCAGATAGTAGGTCAATCCTACAAGTGTCCTTCCAAAACCTGCAAATTTCTCCCAAATATATCTATCAGTCTAAACTCACACTAACAATAAGAACAAGGACATTTTGGTAGAAATTACTCAGGAAACCTGCATACTGGAAAAAAGCTACATAGGCAAGTGAACTTCCCTGGGGTTCAGTGTCCTCAACTGTAAAGTGAGCCAGATCAAGAACTAGATGGGCAAAAACTCTTCACAATTACCAAATCTTGATTAGGAAAATTTTCTGAAATTAAGAAGTGACATTTTAACTTTCTGAAGTCGAAAGCCCCGCTTCAAGGACATACCGAAAGTGGAAATAAATTGTAATACTTTAAGGATTTGCAAAATGTATTGTTTGCCCAGCTAACTGGACAATTTTCCCAAGATGGAGAGCGAAATCCCATTTATCCTTTCGAAAAAACAGCCGTAGAAACACTAGTGCTTAGAGTAAGCGAAGACGACAAAAAAATCCTCCAGAGAGGCCGCACTCCCCCCTCCCCCCGCCCCGAGAGCTCGGAGGGCGGGCGGGGCTTTCGCAATTTCCATTGCGTAACAGCGCCCGGCAAGGCGCGAGCAGCCCAGCGGGAACGGCTGCCGCCCGCGCCCCACCAGGGGGCGCCCCGGGCC